TTTCCTTTAGTGGCTCTTTGTGTTGTTTATTCAATTGTGTTCTTAATTTTATCTGCTGGGATGTGATGGGCTGAACGTTGGCCAGTGTGTGTTTGTGTGCTGTGCATGTTGCCGTGCTGGAGCCAGGCTGTGCGCCCTCTTTTCACTGGCGTGCAGAGGCTGTGTTGTTGTTGGTCTTCACTAGGGCACGACTCTAAATTAGTTTTGTCATTTTGTCTTAAAATACATGTCAAATATTAAAAACTATTTGTCATACACATCACTTCTCAAGACACCGGACTTTCTTTTTCTCAGCCTGTGGCATAGAAGTCAGATGATGTGTGACTTGGGGGAAGGTGTCATTAATGAGGTGAATACTGTTCCTTAAACCTAGATTTTTGTGTAAGAGAAAGTGGCACATTTTAATGGAGGGGTATGTTTTCCTGGCCTGCAATGAGATGTCAAAATAAAAAAGCAAATTTCCAAAGCTCGAGGTGTTTTAAGGTCAACTCGTTTTGTTCTATTATGTGGAATAAAAGCAATTTTCTGGTTCATATGTTAACGCTGAATTCAATGATTTACGTCACGCCTGACTGTGTGTCACCACGTGCAGAGTCCAAAACCACTTTTTATAGCCAGAACCACAGTATGTTTATGTCATTAAAGGTTTTGAAAAGCTTTTACAAGCACTAAAACTACCAGTCAAGACAAAACCTCCACTATTACTGCAGTGAAAAAGCACAAGTGTGTCAGTCCAAAGTGGATTCATGGAGGTGTGGATTTACTGATTCTATGGCCTGCAGAGGAGCAGCACTGTTTACATTTTACCAAACAGAATATACCAAATTTAGATTTGTTTAAACACAGTAGCATGGTGGTAATGATCCTATAAGCTACAGAAAAGTAACCATATGTTTTTCTTAATGCTTAGTTGATTATCTTGGTTCCTCTCATGTTAATACAGATTTTTTTTGTTACTCTCACAGTATCACTAAAATCTTTATTTGCTTCCTATTAAAAATAAGATAGCTCTGTAGAAATGTTATTGATTGTGCTGTTTTCTAATAAAAATTCTTAAGATTCTTAAGTAAACATTTATGAAAAGGTTGAATCACTCCTCAGCTGTTACAGGTATGGAACAGAACAAGAAAGGAAAACATGAAAAATAAAAGAAAAAAGTAAAATATGCAGGTTAAGTCGAACTTGGACTGGTTATTTAGCACGCTAAGAGATTATCATTTCAATCGGAACCAGACTAATACAAAAAATGACAGTATAATAATGATTCTGTTGATCTCTGCAACATCAAATGTAGTGAACACAATCATGCATCAGTAATTTTAATCCCATAACAGGATATACGTTCAAGTTAGAGTACTTTTACTTTTAGTACTATATGTTTTGATGCTGATACTTTTGTACTTTTCCTAAAGCAACATTTTGACTGCAGGACTTTTACTTGTTATGAAGCATTTTTACACTGTTGTACTGATACTTTTACTTAAGGGATGTGAGTTCTTTCAACGCTGCATCTCCTACAAAACATATACATCTCCACTCAACTTGGCAAACTAACATTTTGTCCACTTTGCAGTTCGTATTTTTGACTGTATTAGTCCAAACTTTGACTTTTTGACTTTGTATTTTAGTATTTTACTAAAACGAGCTTTTATCGTGACATATTGTTCATCTTTTTTTTTCCTGATAGCAATGGGGTCCCGTAATCTGTCACCATCTTCCCAAATAAACTGTTTATCACCACTTCTGTGCGACTACGCTGGCATCCACAAGCTTGGATATAATATTCTGTATCTATACATACAAACTAATTCTTGTTAAAGGTCAGGATGTGCACTGACGTGACATTTGAGTCTTGGCTAATGTGTCGCTCATGCTCTTTTGCTTATCTCCACATTTTGTTTGGTATGTTTGGTGGAAACCCTGCTCAAAGCTCCACTATCTTCCTGATGACTTACAACACAATACTTAGGGTTTCTTATGTTGTTTGTCTCATGAACCAGTTGGAATTGAATCAATTTAATCAACTCCTATGAATTCTGTTCTTATTTCGGGGAATTATGCATGGACTTTAATTTGAGTGTTTTATGTTTTATTTATTTTCTTTGGGGGGGGGGGGATTGTAGCTATTAAAGGGTGCAATTT